CAGGCTGCCATTTGGAGGAATTGGCAACCAATTCTTTGTCTTTGGTCGACATCACTACTTTTTAGTATATAAAGAAACAGGGAAACGAAAGAATGTGCACACCAAAGTAAATATACTTTTTACTATTTGCTCTATTAGTAATATTAAAATATTGCCGAGAGAGTCAACACCAGACTGAGGTTAAAAGTTTGACTAACCGGTCAATATCTCAAACCAGATGAACCTGAACTAAAAACAAAGGGAAATTAGTGAATTCTTGGGAGGCAAAGTAGCCCGACATCTTACTGTAGTTTGTGTTCTGCTAAAACAGACACACTACTACAAGAGTTTTGTACAGTTACTGTAATAAAGCTTTCATTATTTTTTGTCACTTCCATTATTAAGCACACGTATTACTGCATTGTATCTAAATTACTCAAATATAAGGTGACTAAAAATAGCAACCATATTTTCTCTCGGCAACCAAAAGCTGATGCAAACACTTTTAAGAGTTAGTGTTGAGCCCGAGGACTATGGAGGAGAGCCAAGCTATAAAATCATTCATGCTCAACTGATCTCCTTTTGGATGTTTACTGGATAGAAGCAAACAGGTGAGAGGTGAGCCCTACCATGGCTGCAGGGTTCCAGGTGGTAGAAGGAGCCGTCTTGGGTTGCCAGTTGTTTCCACCTGTCAGCTTCTTCTCACCAGGCTGACTCCAGTGAAGATCACTACAGAGGTCAAGTCAAAATGTTTGTCAAGTGACATTTAACTTCATATCCATGATACTGCACACTAAACATGAGTGCACTCACTTCTTTGCTGTGCCGTTGCCAATTCCCAGATCTAAAGAGAACAGATGCAATGTAATGAATGCACAACCACCAAAACAAAACCCCCAATCAACACAAAGCAGAACATGTAGAAAGACTGATGTCATGTCCCTGTACTCGTTTTATGCTAATTGTATATAAATATTTATTTCATATTTATTTCCATGCTATCATTTTATAGATATTGTCCTTTACTGCTAGGTACAACTTTCACCTCATCTAATAATCTGCTCATAGCACAATTAGTAGTAAAAAAGGGAACTTACTGCCGACAAGGTTGGCAAGTGATGAGTCCAGGTCGTTGGACACCAGTTTGTGGGCCTGTTGACCATTCAGGGTCATGCCCAAACCCTGACTGGGTGAAGATGTCACTGTGGGTTTGAGGATGCCACCTAAAACATCTTAATCGAAAGGGGGCAGGACAAAGGGAAAGGAAGGGAGGCGAGGGCACGGTGAGAGGTTGGGGGGCCCAGGACACATGAGGACAGACAATAACACAAACACAGGACAGCACATATATTGCACACACCCACACAGACAGAGAGAGCATGTTGAGCATGGATGAGGCAGGACAGCAGGGCTCACAGAAAAAAATAAACTCAATCAAGCCAAGACTGTGTGAGAGGAGAGTGTGTGTGTTGAGTCAACTCACCCAGTCATGCACACACCATGCAAAAGCCAAGACCCCAGAGAGTGTGTTTCAGCCCAGGACAAGGGAGGAGAGAACAAAAATGATGTGAGATGGTGAGCAGTTGGCAACCCAGTGAAGGTGAACAAACAATGAGTGTGTTAGATGGTATAGAATTACTAGGAGTCCTCAATCACACTCCAGTGACGGTGTATACTCATTTCTCGTCAATCACAATTTATTGCAATTTCCTCAAAAATCCATCTCAGTGGCACAGAGTGTTAAATACGGTTACAGGCTGCCAGTGTTTCCAGTAATGGGCTCATTTGTTAGGAATTACACCAATGAGTATTTTAAGAGATATTTAGATTTAAATAAAATCCCACACAAGAGATTAATTTCTCTAAATCCTAAAATTCAACTTTTTTCAAACCCAGGTGAAAAGAACAATAGTTAGTTTTATCAAACGCTGAGCTTTTGTGATGTATGCAGCTCATTGAAAATTACAATAGTCAGCAGACAAAGAACCATAAAGACCATCATAGCTGAAATGATTTCTATGGCCACAACACAATCCTCATTTTCTGCACCTGTGCATGCCAAGAATAAATATGTGGTCAGATGGTAGAAGCACATGATAATTGTGTGGATATTCAACAATAAGAAATACTCATGACCGCTGTCTGTGATGTGCTTAACAGGATTTTTCAGAATGAGCCAACTCCCACTTATGTCATTGTCTAATGGTTATGTACTGTGCTAGAGTGTAACATCTATTTCATGGTCATTAGGGATCTCTCATCGAGTCTGTGGGGTTTGACCGAGCATGTTAACCAAGGAGAAATCATGTCAACTATAAATCAAATGACCTGGTCAGTGAAATCAGTGAAGTATTTGGGATATGCTCAGAAGATTCATAGTCCACATAAACCACACAAACAAATCAAAGTCCAACACTTTTGATTTTCCATAGCCTCAACATGATCCAGTGGACATGCAACCTGTCCCCCAAACCTTCAGGTGGCAGCAGAGTACATGAGGTCTGCTGGCTCCCAAGGGGCAATGGGGATGTACAGTACTAGTGTATGTAAGACTACTCTTACCTGTAGCATCCAGGTTGTTAGCATTGACGTTGTTGCCAAATACTGAGTCAAAGTCGACGTTAAGGCCCCGAGAGTTCTGTGGCTGCTGGGGTGTTGGGGAGGCTGTAAACCCTGTTGAGGCAAAAAAGAAAATGAACTTTCAGTATCCAAATATTGACAACACCTCAGTTCCTCCCAATACACAAACAAAAGCAGGTAGAAAAACACCAACTCATCGGAAAATGTGGATAATGTGACTGGTTCTAAAAGAAAGAGTCTTCCAGTCTATGTGGAAAAGATGCAAAACCATCCTGACCACTGTCATCGCTGTTGAAGGTTGATCTGTTGCAGAAGACCAAAGAGAAAGGTTGACAGGACACGTATACGGTCGGTATCCATCATCTTTCAAGGAAAATTTAACTTAGGGTTTGTGTCAAAACCTCCCCGTCTATTGTTGTCTATGTGAGCTCACACATCCATGGTGTCTGGACACAGGTCCATGTGTTAGGGTACCATTCTATTTCCCAGCGCCCTCACTCACCACTTTCACAACAGAAAGCAACATTTTGATCACATTTGCCCTTTAGATCAGCACATCCTGGTACCGTTGCTCCACTACTACTACTACTACTACTATCTGCACAGGCGACAAATGACGCAAAGCTACACCAGTGTTGCATTTAAGATAGATAATTACTTATGATCTTTAGTACACTCAAGTGATATTTATGTTGAGGGTCAGGCTACATCCACACTAATACCTTTTAGTTTAAAACAAAAACGATATCCGTCCACACGGTGTTTCAGCATTGTTTTAGGAATGATTTTAGTCCAGACTAACACGCCTGAAAACTAATATCATGTGACTATTCATGTATACTGGACATTCGGGTGCCGGTGTAAACAGGAAGTAGATTGGTTGCTTAGTTACAGCAAATACGACAGGTATTATAGTCTTCTGTAATAATGAAAAGTCGTGCTTGATAGTTAAGATCTTCCTCTATAAACTCAAAATAAATTTCGTGGAAAGTTGTATTTTTCTAACTTGGTCAACGCTGCAGGTCTTGATCCATCTCCCTCTATCACATCACATCTACTTCAAAATGAACACTTTTCTTTTCATCAGAGTTTTCTAGATTATGGGTCAATAAATATGGTCAACACACGTCTCAATCGTTTCCTCTCAGTAATGCCGTCCACACTCGGAAGTAAACCCAGAGTTTTCATGCTTATCCGTCCTCAGGAGCGTTTTTAAACATATTCGTTTTCGGTGCTCTAAAACTCGAGCCTAGTGTGGAAGCTCAGAGTAAACGAGTAAATGTAGCAAAAGATATGCATTTTAAAATAGAGATGTAGTAGCATGGACATGGCCCAATAGTCTAGGAAACTCCTTTGATTCTGAGGAATTCTCAAGCTGAAACAATGAATGGGTCTCTTTATTGTTAGACATTTCATTACATGGATCTAAAACATTTTGATAACTGATCTCATCTTTTTTTCCCCTCTGGTTGCAACTTCCCAAACAAGAGGATTTGCTGCTTTACATTTTTATGTGATCAAAAACTGAATATTTGGGGGTTTTGGACTGTTGGTCAAAATAAGACATTTGGAATTTTTAAAATGTCACCTTAGACTTTGAGGAATTGTGATGGCCATTTCTCACCATTTTCTGACATTTTAAATGATTAATTGGAAGAAAAAAATAAAAAAATAAAAAAATAAATAAAAAATCCACAGATTAATCAATTGGCAAAAATAATTGTTAGTATCAGCTCTAAGGAACTCACACCAAAACCTGAAAACCTGTTCCATCCGTCTTCCTTTAGATCACACATTTGTTTAATCAAACCCAGCTGTGGATATGCTGCAAAAACACTGATGTCCATGTGGAAGTTCTCCCCAGGAGACCAAGACAAGTACAACACAAGTAGGAACATCTGCAACAGTAAGTGTGAGTTCACCGTGATCAACCTGGGAATACCTACCTCTGAATAGACCAGCTACAGCAGGGGACTCAGATTGGAAGAGTGGAGTGGTGTAAGGGCTCGGCCCACAGAAGGAGTCTGACACACAGCAAAGAGGAGAAAGGAAGAGTGGAGAAGATTATGAAGATATGAGAGCAGAAAAAAATACCGGAGTGAAAGAGCAGCAAGGAAGCCGAGCAACTGTGGGAATGGCTTTTTAACAGAGGGAAAACAAAGGTCAGGTTTTGCACCACAAAAGTGGAGGAAGCCGGCACTCATCACATGGCTAGACTAAATACAAGGCAAAACCCAGGGCAGCGCACGACTAGGGGCTGACCATAAAACAATGCAGGCTCACAACTAAAGGCTTGTAGGAAGCAGCGCGGGAGAGAGGAGGCATGTTCAGCAGGACGGCTCTGTGTTAACACTCAGACTTCACGCAGAGAGACCGTGTCAATCTAGTTCTACTCATGACCATTCACAAATGTCACAAAGCATCTCACTAAACACTCATGTCAGCCATCCAGCCACCAGACAGTCATCTGTACCTGTGATAAATGTCTCTGTCTGCGTGGCAGAATCAAGATCAGACGCCAGGGAAGAGTTTGAGTCAAAGAAGGGATTGTAATGATCTGGAGGAAGACAAAAAGCCTGCTGGTAAAGATGGACAACCTGCAACAAAGTCTTTCGGCCTTTGAAGTACAAAGAGAGAAAGCAACTCAAAGATACAGCAGCCTTAATCAGAGAGTTAAGAGCTGAGGAAATAAACACCAGGAACGTAGCCTGATTGTGGAAGAAAAACTAATATTTGGTGTGGGGCAGCATGCCAGATCTTTGATGAATAAGAGAAAAGAGTCAAGAAATGTTCGGATTTGTTAACCTAAACCACTTCAGGCATTTCCTCCCTCTTTTCCAACTGCTCTGAAATATACTTCTATGTACTCGCACCGTACCAATTTTAAATAGAATTAAACCACCAGCCAGGTTGATGTTATGAGACTATGGCAGCATTGTACAGTATATTTCATATACAAAATGAAATCTAGACTGTAAAAAAAGGAGAGGATGCAGCAAAACAATCCCACCAAACACTTCATGGCTAGGTGTCCTAGAGGACAGTCTGCCACCGTCCAAGGACGCCATGGACAGGTGGACAGCATCGACAACAGGTAGTGTGAGGAAAGGGTTTGAGTTTGGAATGGATTCCTCCACAGCTTCTGCAGCAGAGGTGAAAGGATCTGAGTGAGCAGAGGGGGAGAAAAAAAGGATAAGGAAAAGAAGGATAAGGAGAGATTATGGCAGAGAGGAGGGTGAGAAAATGGAAGAAGAGAAGTTTAAAAAGTGCATGCCAGATGGAGTGCAGGGGGAGACGACAGTGACGCAGGTGAGAAGGATTAAAACAGTGTTTAAGATATAGAGACAGGCTGAGATCATGCACACTCTCATTGGACACATTTCAGGTCTGACGAGCAGCTTTATCACAAGCACAGCGAGCAGTCCACCAGTCACCAGGTTACGAGTCTTCATTATCACAACGGGCAGAGTCCACCGGTCAAGATATCCAAAGACAGCTGTGCTCACACGGAAATAGCAGTTTATGTTTGTGTTCACAAGTGTCAATTTGGGGAATGTTGCCTAACCTGTTTGTTACAAAATGCAATAAGTGCAAACATGAACAAGGCTGTAATTATCCAGCATTGCCAAGTCTATTTACTAACCAGCTCTTAAACTTCTACTTATTACATTTTTCATTCAAAATGTTGGTCTTTGTCAAGGATGAATGGGTCAAAATAACATGTGCCTTATTTTGGGAAAGCTTTTAATATAATAAATAACACAAGTTACTTGAAATGAATAAGCATGAACTATGTGGCCTAATTTAAAACTATACTTTTCGTCTGCGCACCAATATTGTAAATTACAGGCTATGATCTGTACCATCCACAATATTTACATTGAAAAGCACACATTATGAAGAGATAACTACCACTTGGCAAGTCAATATTATTCTCCTAAATTAAACTCCAAAAATTGCTAAGTCCAAATACAAACCATGCAACAGTAACAAGTTCCATGGTGTACTTAAGGTACAGTAATATGACACGGGCAAGCTAAGGGCTCAGCAGGCACTGAAATGTCTTTCAATTTTTATTATATTCCTATGTTTAATATTCAACAAAGAAATCTGACATGCAAATGTAGGAATGTTGTTTCAGTTTGTGCTGTTCAATGGTTCAACACATGGCCCGGGAACATAAAAACAAGGTACATGATTAACAGATTTTATTACCGATTGTGCCTGATAAATAATGAGGTTTGCTGCCGAGTTCTGCGACATATCCGTCCACCTCCACCTCACAGGGCGGTCACACTTGCTGTCATTTGCATGAGTAAAGAGGACATTCTGTTTATATGGCAAGTAGTTGATGTTTTACAGAAAAAGTAAAACTCCAGCTACAGTTCAAGATACACTGCCAACACCTCACGAAAAAGATTAAACTGCACATTACTAATACTAATGTTTTGTATTCTTTTCCTCTGTTCTTCTGTATTCATATATACAATATTGAATCATTCTATTAACATACATTCTAAGGAATCATTCCACTGAATGTGTGTACTGTGAGGATTGTCTGACAGATGTGTGTGTGCTAACGAGTATGTGACGTGTATGTGTGTTTGTGCATGTGGTAGCAGTGTGGACTGAAGAAGAGCTGCGCTCTCACCTCCCCATGTGTTGGTGGTGGACAGAGGGAGGGACTGCTGGAAAGCTGGCTGCAGGTCCAGCAGCTCATTGGCTGCCTTGGAGGTGCTGGTGGGAACAGGCAGAAAAACAAGGGCATGGAGGATAAATCAGTCACTCATTGACAAAACAGTAGGTTCAACATACAGTTGCCTTGAGAAGAAAAGTTGTGTCCTGAGCAATGCAGGGTAACCCAAAGATATCTTCTTCATTCTTATTTCTGTTTGTTAATACTGATGACAGTGTCATGTTACTGTTGCTTCCTATTTGCATATTATACACATATTTTTACATTTATTGCATGTTACGAGTACTGCTGCTGCAGCGCAGTTTCTATACAGGCATCAAAGTTGCATCTAATCATAGAGAGCTCAGAACCTGTCAAGTCCTTTTGAAACATTTTAGCCGTCTACTTGCATTTAAAGCTACTATGGGGAACTTTCATTTTGTGTTGGCAAGATGACGAGCATTAAGAATAACAAATACATCTCGTTACTGATGAAGGTCATATAGAGCAGAGGTCCCCAACCTTGTTTGCACCACGGACCGGTTTCATGCAAGACAATATTTTCACGGACCGGCCTTCAAGGTGCGCGGAAAAACACAACGAAATAAAATGATACGATCGGCATGAACACAAATATTAAATGCATAAATAAATACAACTCACAATAACGCTGAATCAGTGGGAGCCCTGAGCTTGTTTCTCTGCAATGAGACGGTCCCATCTGGGGTAATGGGAGACAATGACACCCGCAGTCTGTTCCTTATGTCCAGTCTACTCCGTAATTTTGTTTTGATAACCGTCACTGCAGAACATCCCGCTTCACAAAGAGGATGTTGTTAATGGAAGCAGAGTTTTCAGTGCTTTAGTGGCGATCTCAGGATATCCAGCCTTGATTTTATTCCAAACTCCAGCAGAGTTGTTGTCTCAAACATACTTTTAAGGCCACCGTCATTCACAATCTCCAGCAGCTGATCTTCCTCTGTCGCCACATATTATGCAGAGCGGGCTTGGCGCGTCAGAATTACTCCTGATATTTAATCAGACTCCTGATATTGTCTGTTAAATGAAGCTTTGATTTTCTTGGAAGTTGTAGCTCTTCTTCTGTCTCCTTAGTGGCCTTTCCCCTTTGCAAAGAAGCTCTCCAAAAGTTATTTACTCATTTTCGCTAGTTTGTGGGCTTCATTTTTGAGGTAACGTATCACGTGACCATGTCAAGGCGGATGAAATTGCGAGAGAATCCGGTCATTTTTCAAAATAAAACTTCTTTCAGGATCTGATAATCAATAAAACGGAAATAATATAATATTTATTCTTTCTGTGCGGCCCGGTACCAAATGATCCACGGCCCGGTGGTTGGGGATCACTGATATAGAGGCATCAGTATTAAATTGAGTCAGTTTCAAAACCAGTTCAAAGTTCATCACAGTAATTTAGCTGCGTTTCAGCGACATTTGAAAACGCTGCCGACGCTGTATCAGTTTGAAGATTCTAGGGTTGGTTTTAGTCTAGAGTGGCAGAAGAGGAGACTTTTGAAAACGACCACATATTGATTGGGTCCATCACGACGGGTCCCTCCCTGATTCATCACGCCCCTATCACGTTTCACTTCCCAAGCGTTGCTGGCCTTGCTGTCTATGCTAGCAATCTTCTGACCAACAATCTAGTAAAAATGATTTGTAAGTGTTCATTTTTAAAGTAAATTTGATGTGTGAGAGAGATAGAGCAAGACCTATAGGAAGCTCTGAAACTGGGTCCGAAAAAGAAATCTGGCATTATAAAAAAACAACAAAATAGTGTGGAATGAATAAGGAATAAGCCCTGTGGCCTCACCTGTTGGTGGAGCTGGGGGTGGAGAAGAGGTCAATGGCAGGGGCAGAGTTGATGGTCCCGCCCACCGTGGAGATAGGGGAGGAGTCTGTGGTTGCTGCAGAAGGATTCTTCTGGAGCTCTAACAGACGCTGCTCCTTCAATCATTAGGAGGACAGTGTTAAGCAAAATTCACACTACACATCAAGGAATGTAAATACGCTTGCAGCAGTTAGCAGCGAACCAGCAGCAATGGAGAAAGGCAGCGAGTTGGGGAGACAACAAGGTCCGGGAGCTCCTCACTCTCCTAGGATTATTGTTTGGGATGCAAGTCGCTGCCCTACGCAAATGAGTGTATTTGGCTTCAGGAGGGATACTGAACTACCTGACTCAGCTAAAATAGACTAAGTATATTGTTCTTGCTTTTACAAGTTGCTATTAGCTGTACCTAGACTGCTTCAGTGTTAATGCTTTTGCAGTTTATGTCTGTGTAAGGTAGGTGTGATTTAGTGTTTGATCCTATTTCCTCTCCGTTCCTCTGCCCGGTGGTCACGTAGACGTTGGGCCACTCCCAGGTGCCGTGACCCCACTAACCTCATCTATCCTACTCTCTCAGCTCATGTTGAGGAAGTGGTGGCAGGGGGCTCTGGAATTGCCAGTCGGCAGTGCTGAAAGCCGAGTTTATCTCGGGCTACACTTCCTTGCTCTCTCTCAGCTTTCTTGCTCCAACTGAGACCTGGATCACACCAGACAACACCACCACACCCGCAGCTCTGTCAGAAGTGTACTCTTTCTCTCACACTCCCAGAGCTGCGAGGCAAGGTTGTGGTACTGGCCTGCTAATTTCCTCAAAATGGAAATACTCTCCTGTCTCTGTTCCACAGTTCTCCCCGTCCTCTTTCGAATTTCATGCTGTTACTGTCACTTATCCAGTCAAGCTCACCATTGCTGTTGTGTATGGCCCACCAGGCCCTCTAGGTGAGTTCCTGGAGGAGCTCGACACATTAGTCTCACACTTCCATGACGATGGCTCCGAACTCATCCTGCTCGGCGACTTCAACATCCAGACTGATAAGTTAGAACCTCTTCTTTCCTTCCTCTCCTCTGACCTTTACCGCTCCTCTTCTCCTCCTACCCACAAGGCCGGCAACCAGCTGGATCTTATCTTCACTAGACACTGTTCTACTGCTAACCTCTGTCACTCCCCTCCAGCTCTCTGACCACTATTTCATGTCCTACTCCCTCTCCTTCTCCTCTCCCCCCGTACTTCCTCCACCTACCCACATTGTTTCTACCTGTAGTCATCTCCGCTCCCTCTCCCCGGCTGATCTTTCCTCTTCTGTTACCTCTGCTCTCCCTGAACCTGAAGCCTTCTCTCTCCTATCCCCTGATATTGCTACCGATCTTCTCCTCTCCACCCTTTCCTCTTCTTTGGACAACCTCTGTCCCTTCACCTCCAGGCCTGCACGGCCAACCCCACCTGCCCCATGGCTGTCAGACTCAGTGCGTACTGATAGACGGAGCCTAAGAGAGGCTGAGCGTAAATGGAGAAAAGGTAAACTCCCGGAGGACCTTCTTAACGTCTTTCCACTGCTAAAGCTGCTTTCTTCTGCTCTAAAATCCTAACTTCTGCTTCCAATCCTAAAAAAACTCTTCGAAACTTTCACTACACTCCTCCAACCCCCACCCCTTCCTCCTACTTCCTCCCTTCTCCCTGATGATTTCGCCAACTTCTTTGACAAGAAGGTCAAAAAATATCAGATCCTTCTCTCAGCCCCCCTCTCCCTCCTCAGCTCTCCCTCCCCATGCCCCATCTTACCCTATCTTGCTCCCCTCTCCCCTAACTTGCTACATCTAACCGCCCCACCACGTGCTCCCTTGACCCGATCCCCTCCCCTCTTCTTTAGTCTATTGCGACTGAACTCCTTCCTTTCCTCACCCACCTCATCAACACATCTTGTTTCAGGATGCTTTCCCACAGCTTTCAAGACTGCCAGAGTAACTCCCCTTCTGAAGAAACCGTCACTTGACCCCTCTGATGTCAAGAACTTCAGACCGGTTTCTCTTCTACCCTTTCTATCCAAAACACTTGAACGTGCTGTCTTTAACCAACTGTCTTCCTATCTCCACCAGAACAGCCTCTTGGACCCCCAACAGTCCGGGTTCAAGCTGGGTCACTCGACAGAGACAGCTCTCCTTGCGGTGACACAATCGCTTCACGCTGCGAGAGCGAACTCTCTCTCCTCTGTCCTGATTCTCCTGGACATGATTCTCCTGGACCTGTCTGCAGTGTTTGACACGGAACCACCAGATCCTCCTCTCCAACCTCATTGGCCACCGAGGACAGGTGTGGTGTGTTGGGCTCCACACCAATCCTCTTATTTAACATTTTACTCCAGATTCTATCAGTTCCAGCTGATGCTTTTCAACAAAAATGCTTCAACTCAAAGAAATACTTGAATCAAAGACAAGAATCAATTAAAAAGGTACAGAGAAAAATGGAGGTGTTTGGACACTGTTATTCTGCTTGTTTCACCTGCTCAAAGCCTTTGTTTGGCTGGATCCGACTGCACCGACTCCGCTATGCTCCGACTGCACCGACTCCGCTATGCTTGGTGCGTGGGGAAAAGCTATCCAACAGTGCCATGGTCCCAAGCAAGCTTAAACGTCAATGTGTCAATTTGTAACTTTTCTGGTTGTTGGTGTGCCGCGGGATCTTTTTAATGTAAAAAAATGTACCGCGGCTCAGAAAAGGTTGAAAAACACTGGTCTAGAAAGTAGTTGTAATGACATGAATGGCATTCATTCATATAACGATTCATACCAAATGCCTGCAGGCCTGAAGAACACTAAGCTGAAATAAATGTAGGTGAGTGTGGAAAATTAACCTTTAGTGCTCTCAGGAGACTCTGCTCTTCCTCCAGGGCTGCCTGTTTTTCCCTCTCGTCCACTTTGGTGAAAGATATGCCAGTGTTGGCCAGGGAGGAGACCGCATTGGAGAGGGTGCTGGCCCTGAATCAACAGACAGACACAGAAATCAGTGACAAACCAAGAACCATTGCAGAGCGATTCAGAAACTACACTGAGGTTTGCACATATACATTTCACAACTGTTTGGTGCGCTTTTTGCTTTATATCTATGTGGTGTCAAAGTTGTCTTGTTTCTACTGCGTTTGTTTGTGAATTGTAACACAAACTAGAAACTAGAAAATTTCGCAAGAAATTTTGACAGTGTGGCTTCTACTACCCGAAGACGTCGCAATATATAGCTACACACGCCGATTACCAGTAGTATCATTGAGGTTCGATTGATGTATCACTTCTCTCTTTTCTGCATTTTAGACTCTTGGATTGAATCTTGTATTCGTGATGGACAGTCGACAAATGGCTGCCATCATTTCTGTACTGGACATAAACATCTTTGTTTGAGAAGCCTTTGGAAATGATGGGAGCTAATGCTCCCATCATTTCTGTATTCGAGATAAATACATTTGTTTGAGAAGCTTTTAGAAATTATGGGAGCTAATGCTCCCATAATTTCTGTATTTAAGATATAAACCTTTGGTTGAGAGGCCTTTGGAAATGATGGAAGCTAACGCTCCCATCATTTCTGTACGAACCTCATTCTGAGCTTCATGTTAAGATACAGTTACTCTATGGGGCTTTTATTTTGAAAGGGTGGGACTGGGTGGGGGAGAGGACACATATTCATAATGTTTGACACACAAACAGAGGTTATTAAATGACAGGCTTCATCACAAGCATTCCAGTTAGAATTCCCAGTCTGGGGCTTTTATTTTGAAATGGGGAGGGGGGGGGGGGGGGGGGGGGG